ACGCAAAACAAAAGTCAGCGAACTGGAGCACAAATTCAGCCAAACCAGTTAATTAAAGGTTGCGCAAATTATATGTTTGAGAAAGTCCTTCCATCACCTCTGAAAAACTACAGGTCAAAGTTCATGTCACTTTAAATTTTTAAACACATCTATAGAGAATGCAGGGATGTGCCGCCCACATGTTTTTTATGTTTACAACTGTGGTTATTGTTTTCTAGTCCATTCACTGGAACAATAAAAACCATAAACAATGCATCCACTCAACCATCCATCATCGTACTTCCACTGATTCAGGTCAGGAGCCTAACCCAGCTAGTTGAGCTAAATGAACATGAAAGGAAGCACAAAGGTTTCTGGAACATGTTCAAACAACTGAAGCTGATATCATCACTTATTCAAAAGTTCTGTTTTCTCAAAATGAGGCATTTTGTGTTTTAATATTTTCTTGTGCTGAGGATGTTGTGGATCTCATGAAAACAGTGACTGTTTCCTAACTTTAACCACATGATAGCAACCTTAACTTCAGCGATGACAAACTAAACCTCAACCTTCACTCGTGTGCAGAAATCAAACTACTTCTGGGAACCAGCTGTGCGCAGGAGATAAGAAACTTTTTCGCCATTCGAACAAGTTAAATGAATTCCAGGAACAAGTTTATTATCTTGTTCTCAGGAGGTGTTGGTGTGATTTTGTTTTTAATTATTGCCCAGGGTAATTGTATTGTGAAAATAAGTTATTCTCTTGTGGGAAATGAGAACACCTGGAACGAGATATTGTCTTTTGGGAACGAGTTAGTTAAATGTTCCCTTCATAAAACATCTTTGAAGCTCTGTAAGACCATAAAAATGTATCCAGCATAATAAAAAGACACCATTTAACACAGCTTAGCACATCTAACCGTCTGTAAATTGTCTAAGCAATTGTTTTATTGGGTTTTCCAATTATTCAAAGACTGAGAAGAGTATTTAACCCTGTAACGTGTTTGACATGAGTTTTTGAGACCTCTACATCATCAGTGTGACGATTCTTGTTCCTAAATAA